AACTTAGGTAGTCCGGTAATTAGGTATTCGGGTATCTAGGGTATCCAGAGTATCCAGGTTATCTAGGGTATCCAGGGTATCCAGGGTATCCAGAGTATCCAGGATATCCAGGGTATCCAGGGTATCCAGGGTATCCAGGGTATCACGAAAACATCTTTCTCACTATTATTGGATACACAGATTAAGATAGTAAGATTTGGTAACCTCGTAAATCCTCTCGGATTGAGTTTAGCACAAGCTTTGATTTAATGGATTTCAGCACTTGAAAACTACAGAAAGATGAGCTATGATGAAAACTACAGAAAAGTGAGCTATGATGAAAACTACAGAAAGATGAGCTATGATGAAAACTACAGGAAGAGAAGCTATAATGAAAACTACAGAAAGATGAGCTATGATGAAAACTTCAGAAAGAGGAGATATGATGAAAACTACAGAAATATGAGATATGATGAAAACTACAGAAAGATGAGCTATGATGAAAACTACAGAAAGATGAGCTATGATGAAAACTACAGAAAGAGGAGATATGATGAAAACTACAGAAAGAGGAGCTTGTGCTTTAAAGTAAATAAAAATTTTCCAAAAAAAAGAATTTTATTTTTTCTTGGAAAAATATAGATATTGTATAAAATTTCTTCTCACATACCAATTATATATGATTATACTTAAATTTAAATACTTTAGAACAATTTCTTAATAATGTAAAGTTATATCAAAATTGGTCTAAAAACATGTATAAAATCTTAAACAGGGATTCGACCCACAACAGTTCAACATTTTTGAGGTTAGGATAAACATTAGAATATGAACCACACAATTTTACATACATTTTCAATAAACATAAAATTTTTTTTAGTATTTTAGATAAATGATAAAATTTTTCGACAGCTGATTGAAAAAAAAATTAATAAAACAAATTGCGTATTTGTTTAGAGTTTTGTTTTATCAAGAATTTTTTATGAAAAATTGTTGATAATTGTTAAATTTTAATTCCTTATTTGATCTTCTAGTCTTTTCGGGAGTGAAAACCTAAAAATCTTTTGTCTTGTAAACTTTTATATCAAGAAGCAATAAGTAACCATTAAAGTATAGTAGTAGATAAATAAGACACTTATTTCTCCACACATCCCTTAAAATGTGCAAACAATAAAGATATAAAAAATATATTCTTTTTCTAGGTTATGATTAGTAATCTCAATACTGTAGTTTATCTAACATTATTATGGTCCACAGGTAGACTGTTTATTTCTGATTCTAAAATAAACGTCATCCAAAGAATTCAACCTCTTTCCTGTGATTATTTTTGCCTTTAAACACTGGTTTGAAATTACAACAGGATTGGCTTCCGATATTTTTCATAATTGAATTATTGTCATGTCGAAATGGTTTTTTTACCACCTTGGAATTCCTTGGAAAAAATTTGATATCTTTATATGAAAAACATGACAAGCTGGGACTGGAGAGGGGAAAATTTGATATCTTTATATGAAAAACATGACAAGCTGGGACTGGAGAGGGGAAGGTTTGATATCTTTATATGAAAAACATGACAAGCTGGGACTGGAGAGGGGAAGGTTTGATATCTTTATATGAAAAACATGACAAGCTGGGACTGGAGAGGGGAAGGTTTGATATCTTTATATGAAAAACATGACAAGCTGGGACTGGAGAGGGGAAGGTTTGATATCTTTATATGAAAAACATGACAAGCTGGGACTGGAGAGGGGAAGGTTTGATATCTTTATATGAAAAACATGANCATAGAGAATAGAATATATAGAGAGGAATTTACTAGAAAAAAGTGTAAAACGGCCATTTTGTTGTACTGTTTCCATACTGCAGGTGTACTTCACATATTTATGCTATATAACCTGTTGGGCCCTGGAATATCATTTTATAGAAAATCTAAAATTATTTGACCAATTATCATTTCATATAGACTCTATGCCTTTCACTTTACAAACGAAGATTTTCCGTTATAACTATAAATCAAATGATGTTTTTATTCACCTAATTCATTATAAAGTTTATTTAACAGTTTAAAAAATTCAAAATTGAAATGGATTGTCTAGGGAACATACTGTATTAATGTACTCTACTGAATATAATTTGTAAACATTTACATGATTTGTACACTTTGAACTCCCTTTCAGGCTTAAAAGGACTGAGAAAATTCATACCGAGAGAATCTTTTAATTCCTCTCTATATATTCTATTCTCTATGTGTTTAAAGTACCGTTGTAAATCGGACATTGCTATCTTTGCAGGGAGGGTAACTTGAAATCACGCGTACAGTCCCTTTATTCAAAATTTATTCAGGGATCCTCTGCCTTCCACACGGAGCCTATCAAACTGTTGGAGCACCGTTTCCTAAAGGGGCTCCTGCTTATCCTAAAGGGGCCTACTGGTACCAGCTGGGGGATACAAATATACCAAACCAAACCAAGGAATATCCGACAGAATTACATTCTCTTCGTCTGCTAGACAGGTTTTCTCTCTTCCTTTAAGGGATTTTTGATAGTCCACAGTCGCAGGCGATTATATCAGTACAATGAAGACGAATTTGGATATAAATTTTAATTTATATCAAGCTGCTAAGAGAAGCTGCCAATTAAAAAAGCTTCTCTTTGACTACTTGCAAACTTGTACCTCGAAAAAAGCGTGTTAATAATCAAAACTTAGACAAAACAATCGTCTTTATTGTGTTGATAAAATCGCCTACCAAGCTGTGTAAACACGCAACGTTTGCTATTAGAACACAGCTTAACCCTGAACAAAATTTGGAAAAATATTGAGTACTCTCTATCAATCTAAACCTAAATTCTTTACAAATGTTTTTTTTATTGTCAATAATTTTGATTACAAAAATAGTACAACCTTTAGATATTATTAGAATAATTTATTCTTCACTGCTCAGAACCTCGTAAAAATACTCATATTAAGTATATTCAATTTATTGTATTGTATATTGCAAAGTGGTAGGCGAATATATTAATAAAATGAAGACGACTTTTGATTTCAATTTTAATTTATATCCAAGCTGGATATTGGATACACATAAACATAGAAGTCAATAGAAGTTGCCAATTAAAAAGCTTCTCTTTTATTACTTGTAAACTTGTAATTCGAAAAAAAGCTTGTTAACAATCAACCTTAAATGAAAAAGTTGTCTTTATTGTATTGATATGATCGCTGTATATTTTGTTCTTAACGGTAAAGGTTTTTCTGAGCCATGTAAAACGATTTATTTTTATTTTTAGTGACCAGGCCGGGGGACTCAAATTTTGTTTACGTGGATAATATATATTTTAGAGATTTATGTAATTTGTTTTGTTTTTTGCTATACATTATGCAATCTTTAAATAAAGTAATTGAGTCTTTGCCACAAACTCTGCTTTTTAAAATCTTTGCACAACAATGTTTTAGACCTTAGATTGTTCAAACTATTATTTATATAAGATTAAATAATTTAAGTTTGAAATCAAGTTTTACGCCATCAGTTTGCAAAGATTTAGACATGAGAGCCGTTATTTCAAGTTTATCATATTTCACTTAAATTCTGTGTACTTCAAGCTAATAAAATAATAAATAAATAAATAAATAATTNTCTCGTACATTAATTAACATAACTCAATACGTATTTAGTTCTAAAATGTATGATTAATTTATAAAAAATATATTTAATGTGTGCTTCTCGTACATTAATTAACATAACTCAATACGTATTTAGTTCTAAAATGTATGATTAATTTATAAAAAATATATTTAATGTGTGCTTCTCGTACATTAATTAACATAACTCAATACGTATTTAGTTCTAAAATGTATGATTAATTTATAAAAAATATATTTAATGTGTGCTTCTCGTACATTAATTAACATAACTCAATACGTATTTAGTTCTAAAATGTATGATTAATTTATAAAAAATATATTTAATGTGTGCTTCTCGTACATTAATTAACATAACTCAATACGTATTTAGTTCTAAAATGTATGATTAATTTATAAAAAATATATTTAATGTGTGCTTCTCGTACATTAATTAACATAACTCAATACGTATTTAGTTCTAAAATGTATGATTAATTTATAAAAAATATATTTAATGTGTGCTTCTCGTACATTAATTAACATAACTCAATACGTATTTAGTTCTAAAATGTATGATTAATTTATAAAAAATATATTTAATGTGTGCTTCTCGTACATTAATTAACATAACTCAATACGTATTTAGTTCTAAAATGTATGATTAATTTATAAAAAATATATTTAATGTGTGCTTCTCATACATTAATTAAACATCAGTGTCAAAACATCGGTTTTGATGTGTAACATTGTGTTGAAATGGTTAACTGAAAATAATACTCAAAATAGACTGGAGGGGGCATATTACCCCCCCCCCCTCTATTTTCTTATTGTGATGCAAATCTATAACATTTGATACGATTTTAGAAAGCCCTACTTCAATAATTTAAAAAAAATCAAATTTGCAAACATACAACTATCTAGTTATTTAGCAAAAATGCGCAAATTGCGACAAAATCCGCATAAACGTTTGCAACATCTTCAAAACCTTAATGTGTATTTAATAAAACCTGAAAATGTACAAATTCCCTGTTAAGGCGTCTAGACAAAAATCTTTGCAAAAATTGTGCACTCTGCTTTCTTTTGCTATATAGACTTTCCCAAGAATTATAAATTGTTGAAATCTAATAACTAGAAGTATGTTCAAGTAGAGATTTAGTATGGTAAGGTAAAATAAGGCATTTAGGCAGTTTGCCTCAGGACTCAGGCAGTAGGTATAAAAACCCAGCTTTTTGGCTTTAAGTGAGGGACAAGTGTTAGTTAAAGTTGTTAGAAAATTTAAACTTCCTAGTTAAAATACTTTAGGGGGGTGGGTGGCTCATATTGACCCCGCTCCCTCTGTCAGAATAGGGTTAAAACACCAGAGGAGATAAACTCTCACACCGGACCGACCTTATGCCATGGTCAGCAAGCAGATTATTTCTAAATCTAATTTTTTTTTAGAGCCATAGAAGAAATTCAAGAAACCCCGGCCCACCTGCTGATGTCTCTTGTGTAAGATAATTTTCTTAAAATTAAATTTTTCTCTACATATTAATACTAATTGTTTGATTAACCAGCCAATGGTATGGTTGCGAGACTAAGAACGGACTTCGAGCACTGGAGAGTGTAATTAGAAGCAAGAATCTAAAGGATCATGAACAACATCCAAGGTATTGATCCAGGGCAGAATCGCGAGAATTTGCGTGGAATTGCGCGGAAGTAATGCGCTCTCAATTGCACGCAAGTAAAATCCACTTGCGTTGGAAACCCCAGGTGTACCCCTGAAAAAGGTGATAAGGTGTTTTGGAACCAGTCTATAGTTATAGTTGTTAAACCAATTATATCCAGTAAAAACCAGAAATATCCTGTATAAACCAGAAATATCCTGTATAAACCAGAAATATCCTGTATAAACCAGAAATATCCGTATAAACCAGAAATATCCTGTATAAACAAGAAATATCCTGTATAAACCAAAAATATCCTGTATAAACCAAAAATATCCTGTATAAACAAGAAATATTCTGCATTTAAATCAGAATTATCCTGTATAAACTAGAAATATCCTGCATTAAAATCAGAAATATCCTGCGTAAACCAGAAATGTCATGTAAAAACCAGATATATCTTATATAAACCAGTTATATCCTGTATGAACCAGAAATATCTTGCATTTAAATCAGAAAAATCCTGTATAAACTATAAATAACCTGTGTAAACCAGTTATATCCTGTATAAACCAGAAATATCCTGTATGCACATCCTGTATAAACCAGTTATATCCTTTAGAAACCAGAAATATCCTGTATAAACCAGTTATATCCTGTATAAACCAATTGTATAAACCAGAAATATCCTGTATAAACCAGATATATCCTGAATAGTTGGATACCAGATGAAGAGGAGGAGGAGGAGGATGAGGAGCTAAGAAAAGATCTGGCTTTTCACAGGTTAATACTCCCCCCCCTAATTTGTGAGCTACCACAATCGCTAGTGTCCATAGTTTTAATTTTGCTGATGTCATTTTGCCAAAAGTATTTTTTCTAGAAGCATTTTTGCTCGTGTTCAATGTCCTTTTTCATAGAACCATTCATGCTCTTGCTGACGTTCTTCTTAACACAACGTTATTTTTCATTTTAATATTTTACTCATTTGTCGGAAACCTTTTCTAAATAGTAAATATTGAATTATTAGGCTTTCAGGGTCCTTCCCACCCAGCTTATATTTTTAAAAAGTTTAATTTTGTCTCTTCGTACAATAGCAAACAATAAAGAAAATTTTCGCGAATTTATTATTTTTTTTGTGTGGATTTTCTAAATTTTACAAAAATTGTATCTTTTAAAATACTGAGCACGTACATTTTTTTGTTTATTAGTTGTAATTTACAATTTTTTAGGTTGATTTAACTTGGATAAAATAGAAGATGGAGAGAAATGAACTAATACTCAATACCCTACCCTGGCTGCATTATAAACATAATATACTGTTTTGTAATAAAATATTTATCATTTATTTATTCTGGGAGATTTAATAAATGATCATACTGAATCACAACCTATCATTTAATTTTTTTTAAATCAACATTTGTAGTGAAACCCCTTTTGATAGATATATTATGGCGTTATCCGTTTTATTTTAAATGAATTAAAAACCTTGAGTTATATACTTTAAAAACACTTACCGGGAAAAATACAGAAAATAGTTCGGATATTAATGGAAAAATAGCATTCGTGAATTAAGGAACCAGCTTCCGATATTTTATGTAAGCATTGCATGGAAGTAAAGAATAAGATTTTCTCAAATCTCGGAACTTGATTCCGTTTCTGTGGTTCAGATCGTATTCTGTTCTGATTCCGTTTCTGTGGTTCAGATTGTATTCTGTTCTGATTCCGTTTCTGTGGTTCAGATTGTATTCTGTTCTGATTCCGTTTCTATGGTTCAGATTGTATTCTGTTCTGATTCCGTTTCTTTGGTTCAGATTGTATTCTGTTCTGATTCCGTTTCTGTGGTTCAGATTGTATTCTGTTCTGATTCCGTTTCTGTGGTTCAGATTGTATTCTGTTCTGATTCCGTTTCTATGGTTCAGATTGTATTCTGTTCTGATTCCGTTTCTTTGGTTCAGATTGTATTCTGTTCTGATTCCGTTTCTGTGGTTCAGATTGTATTCTGTTCTAATTCCGTTTCTGTGGTTCAGATTGTATTCTGTTCTGATTCCGTTTCTGTGGTTCAGATTGTATTCTGTTCTGATTCCGTTTCTATGGTTCGTATTGTATTCTGTTGTGATTCTGTTTCTGTTGTTCAGATTGTATTCTGTTCTGATTCAGTTTTTGTGGTTCAGATTGTATTCTGGTCTGATTTCGTTTCTGTGCTTCAGATTGTATTCTGTTCTGATTCCGTTTCTATGGTTCAGATTGTATTTTGTTCTGATTCCGTTTCTGTGGTTCAGATTGTATTCTGTTCTGATTCCGTTTCTGTGGTTCAGATTGTTTTCTGTTCTCATAGTTACTGAATTAGGTTCCGTCAATCTATATATAAATTTGGCTTGTCTGGGTGTTTGTTTGTTTGTTTGTATCCAATAAACGTCAAAACGGCTGAACCGATCGGGCCCAAATTTTTTGTGGGACATCACGTGACCACAGGGAAGGTTTATGAATGATAATAATTTAAAAAAAATGTGTTTTAAAGGTTATAATTTTGTAAAAAAAAATTCAATTCTTAAAAATCCACGAATTTTTTTTTAAAAATCCGCAAATTTTTTTTCTTCTTTGTTATAAAATGTAAACAAAAAAACATGTTCACAATTTAAATAGAAGATGGGCGCGAAGCGCCCTAAAAGCCTAGAAAGAAGGGCGCGAAGCCCTTGAATTTCTAGTAGAATTATATTTCTTTAATGTAGAACCTAAATACGAGAAACATGAGTATTTATAGAATAATTATAAAATAGTTTTTTGTGCAATAATTTTAAAAGGTTCGAAACATAAAAATTAACTATTGAAATTTCTAAACATATTAAATAAGTTTAGTAAAATTGAATAAAACTATATATGTCAATGACAATGTCAATTTCCAATGTCCAATAAAAGGTTAGATGCATCCAATGAAAAGTTCTTAAAATTTAAATTTATTATCAACCTTGCTAAACGGTTTTTACCGGGATTTTCTTTTTCAAGTTTGTTTTCAAAATGAAAGTATTTTTCCTCTTGGATCTCAAGTTTCTTGTTCAGGGCTACAAAAAAAAATAAAAAGATGGTTCCAATGTCCAATTAATTTCTGTCACGATAAATAAGTTTCAACGCACTCCTGTATGCCGAGTCCATTGGCGCCTGTTCCAATCAGGGTTCAGTCATGGTGCTTGTTGTCTATTCTAAACCAATAGAAATTGTAAGGCGGTAACATCTATCTTTATATCTATCTCATTATCCAATCAGAGTTATGCATCCTTCAATCGGCATCATCACTAAATGGAAATATTGATTTCTACTGAAACTATAGTGAAAGCATGGTGTGGCTTGCCTTAAGAAAAAATGTTACTTTATATTAAAATTGCTAAAAGCAAATTTTTGGTTTGCATTCAAATGTGCAACTTGCGAGCATAGTGTAAAATTGTTAGTGAAATTTGCATTCATAATTTTTGTTTGCATACCTTAAAGGGATTGTAGCAATAATTTCACCCAACCACTCACCATGGTACCCTACCTACAAGGGTTTCCAGTCGAAATTATTTGCACAAAAATCCTGCAAGAAAAATCTTGGTATTTGCGTATTTCGTTATTTCCTGCTATTTCGTTATTTCTTTATCTCGAGCTATTTCGTTAAATCGTTAAATTTTGATAAACAATTCCATAAATTCAAAATTAAACCAATCAGAGTTAGAGGTCGGGCCAGCCTGCTCGGCGCTTACACATGCTGGCCGAATAAGCCCCAATTTTCATGTTTTAGGTTACCGCACCGTACCATCTACTTCACCGTTTACTGGCAATCAATCTCAAGTAGTAACTCAGTTACTCACGAATTAATTAATCATAATCACATTCACTAATCATCAGAATCTGGTTTGAACTTGGAGACGAGCAGTTTTAAATGGAAGTTGTTTTTTCCTGTAACTAATCCATGAATATTAAAATCTTTCATATTTACGCACTACATGGTATGCACCAAATATTACTTAATTTTGTTTTTATGCACAATACTGCTGTACAAAAACTTTATTTTTTCGTATTCATGGGCATTTCAAAATTTCATTCGAAAATTACCTGTATTCATGCGCAATCTCTTGAAAAATTCTGACTTATTTCGTATTCATGCAAAATTTGTGCAAAAAAATTATTTATTTCGAATAAATGAGCAATTTCGTGCAAAACGGGTTTCGTATTGATACGAAAATGATGCTGAATTTCGTGCAAAAATGTCATTTCGTGAAAAACCACCCAACTGTTGCACAAGAGAATTAAATGTTTTGTGGAAACCCTACCCACACTGCAATGATAGCAATTCAAAATTCAAAATCTGTACCCTGGAAACCTTAATCTGATAAGTATATCGAAGATAACGTTGTTTTTCTGACTGGAAAAGTTCTCCATTGTTTCTTATCACCAAGAAAGGCGCAAATCCCTTTCGCAGAGAAACCACAAATGAATATAAACAATTTTAAAAACAAAAACATACATTATGTGTAATTCACTCTCGATCGGACAAAACTTTAAGGCTACCGTTGTAAATCGTTGTATGGAGGGTTACTTGAAATTGTTCAATTAACAATTCCTTTAAAGGAAAAAAATGGACAAAATATACAAAATAATAAATTTTGGACATCCTCAATTATCCTCGCATTTCGCGAAAAGGTTCGCTCAAGCAAATGTAAATTTGCGAAAAAATTGGCTAAACATTGATTCCACTATTTATTTAGTATACAGTCTACACTCTGACTTTAGAGTTCAGAAAAAAAGAAAAATCTTGCAGGGGTATTACAAGCTGCAGTTCCTCAAGTGTACAGCCAGTTCTGAGCTCAAGAAAGAAAAAATCGGTTTTTCGGAAGGGTCAGTCAACAAAGAGGAAAAATAAACATCAATGAGGAAAATAAGATAACGAGAAGAATTATAATTGAATATTTCTGTATGATCTGTATCCAATGTTTTTAAAATTCATGATTATTGTTAAAATAAAAATTTGGTATACGATATACAATGCTGCAGTTTGCTGTGTATGTCTTTATGTAAAATACAGGGTGTCCCAATAAACATCGATATTAAGAGACGACTTAAAGTCGTCTTTGATTTCCGTTAGTTGTTAAATGACAAATGGTAGATCTATTAATTGTATCTTTTAAATTGTTGAATTTGAACATTTAAAAGATTTCGTCGTCAATATTGAAGATGAAAATATGGTAAATCACATTTAATTTTAACTGGAATTGCCAAGATTTGAATTGGTATAACAACAAGAAATGAGTAGTAACTAGTAACTTTCCTTGATCTGATTTGGGAAATCAATTTTTTCCATGTTTTCTACGTTGTATGTCTCTTATCAAGATGTTATTCTAAATTCTAAAAATAATAATTCACATTAAAAGATAAAAGCAAAGTTTTTGAAAAATTATAAAAATAATGATAAAAAGTGCAGATTACAAAATATGACGACATTAATTTGGTGCTTCGTGAATTAAAAAAAGGTTGATATTCACTGTTCAACCATTTTTAGCACCAATTTTTACAAAAAAATGTTATTTCTTACATATATATATATATATGATTTTGAATCCCGCGCAAAGAACGTGAAGAGCAAAGAATTCTGCATTTTCTAATTAAACGTGAAGAGCAAAGAATTCTGCATTTCTAATCAAACGTGAAGAACAAAGAATTCCCCGTTTAAATTACCAATATCTTAAATCCAAGTCTCTTTTTCTATTTAATCTTAAATATTAACTATATTAAATATAATTAAATATTAACTATATATTAACAACTTTGACATTTGCACCAGATAAATCTTCACTCATCCTCAAATGTTCTTTGAGAAGGTAAATATCCCGCAAAAAAAATTAAAATTTATCTGCACCGGGTTAAAATTTTTCTAAACTTCTAAACAATAAAACTCTGGTACGGGAAGACGACTTTTAGACACAAATTATGAAGTCCACTAAAAAAACTATGATAGCTAAATCAATATCATCTTATTTTAAGATTATGATATTACCCTCCAGATTTTCTTTATAAAGAGTAAAATGATGCTCTTAATGTTCATTAGTTAAGAAATTATAGAAGATAATTTTTAAAAAGAATTCTCTCTCAGTAAATATTAGCTCTTGATCGGACTAACCTCATTATCATAATGTTCTCTTTCAAATACATTGTTCTAATATTCTACTCGGGATTTATATTAATTACCCCTCCTCCCAGCTTTACGATATATTCCCAAGTAGTAAACTGGACCGGATTCCTTCTATCCAATATCCCAGTTATATTCTCAACCCTCTACAACTTTAATCTACCGAAAGTCAAGTTATCAATACTACGCTCACTGCTCACCATGCTGATGCTTCAACTCCACAC